CAAACAAACAAACAAACAAACAAAAAAAACAAGAAAAGGGAACAATATTGGTGTTTTTATTACTTGGAAAGGTATGAATGGATTTTAATAAAATTTTTACCAGACGTATGTTCATGCTAAGGAGACATTCATAAACAATCATGTGTGAGTTTAAGCTATAGGTGTAAGTCACAATACTGGGCAACATATACTACTTGGGAGAGATGTCAGGCTCAGAACAAAAGGACCCAGTTTTCGAGAAGGAGAGACAGGTTTACAAAACAGAACTGTGGAGAACAGCGCCAGCGTCTAAGGCAGGAACCTCTGCATGGGGAGAACATTGGTTTCTGACCACATCCATCTGGTGGAGGATGATGATGAACGTGTAAGACACTAACCTGGTCTTAAAGTTTAGTCCGTGCCCAGAGGATGAGGTCGGCTGCCAATAAGACGCTGCAGACACCGCTCAGAGAGTCCAAGACGCTGAAGTCCTGTAGGTGATGATAGGCAGGAGATCAGAACCGCCCAGACGAAGGAAGGAAGAATATTCCAGGGGCTGGAGCCAAAGCCAGTGTTGAGGATCTTCTGAGGAGTCAGAGCCAGGAGACCAGAGATCCAAAGAGGTACCGAAGGGTATTCCAAGACGGTGCCAGAATTCAGTTCCAGGTTTGGTTCACAGAGACAGGCAGGCTTAGAGGTCCAGAGGCAGAACGGGTCAGGATCAGGTAATCAGAAATACTCAGGTACACTGGAGAACTCGCACCAAAGGTTTGAATTATCTGGCATTGATGACTTTTTGAAGGCTGGTTAAATAGAGGCTGGAGTAGGTGGATCAGATGAACAGTGATGAAAACTTGGCAGAGTTAGGCAGTTGAATGAAATGATTAATCGGGCCAGTCTTCAGTTCATGACAAGAGGTCTGTGCTCTCCACATGTTTTATAGTTCAGAATGCAATGACCAACGCATGCTTAGCTTGTGCAGACTCTTTGCATTTATTGTGAAGGACCAATTTTTCTCACAAATCTGTCCAGTCTGACCACTTTTTAGCAGCAGAATAATTAAAAGAATGTTTCCCTTTAGCAGGTATTTATCAAGTGATGTATTGATATATTTTTGATTATTTATTCTCCTTTCCATTGCATCATTGGCACTCTTTCAAATATGAAAAGCAATGTCTAGGCAAGAGTATGTGTGTAGCACAGTTTTATAAAAAATGCTTTGTATGAACTGCAACACACCATTACAATTATAAAATGTCAGTGGAGTCTAAAGAGCCCCGCTCTCTGGACTTACTAAGATTCAAACACTAAGTGCACATCCTACAAGTGAGGGGTTTATCCTCACACGTTCGTATGTAAAGAAAAATGTGTCACTACACAGGTGTTAACTGTTACTAACAGTTGTTTACTAAATAAGTATGTGCAGCTATTCTAAGGGAGCATGTGTGCCTCAAATAAAACAGTGCTTTAGTCATTTACCCTTCATCTTCCTCTCAGTTTTGTGTAATTTAAAAGCCAAACAAATTCCCTTTAGCAGAACAGCTCACCATAATGTCATTACAAACTTATTTACCAATTTAGGTATCAGTTAAAATGTCTAACAAAAGTAAGAAGTTAGTTCATTACGCTGATTCTCCGAGGTGTCAGACATCGCTCTTCAGCTCAAACTCTCAGATTCTAATGACAGCCTCTTCAACCCTCCATTCAACATTTGCCAACAGGAATTCCAAGGTGGTGGTCCCTCTATTTAAAAAAGGGGTCGAAGGGTGTGTTCCAACTACAGAGGAACCACAAGCTTATGCCTCCCTGGTAAGGTCTATTCTGGGGTTCTGGAAAGGAGGGTCCGTCGGAGAGTCGAATCTCAGATTCAGGAAGAGCAGTGTAGTTCTCGTCCTGGCCGTGGAACACTGGATCAGCTCTTCACCCTCAGCAGGATTCTGGAGGGTGCATGGGAGTTTGCCCAACCAGTCTACATGTGTTTTGTGGATCTGGAGAAGGCATTCGACTGTGTCCCTCGGGGGGTCCTGTAGGGGGTACTCCTGGAGTATGTAGTACCAGACCCTTTAATAAGGGTCAAGTGTCAGAGCCTGGTCCGTGTTGCCGGCAGTAAGTCAGACTCATTTCCGGTGAGGGTTTGACTCCTCCAAGGTTGCCCTTTGTCACCAATTCTGTTCATAACTTTTATGGACAGAACTTCTAGGCCCAGCCAAGGTGTTGAGGGGATCTGTTTTGATGGCCTTAGGATTGCATCTCAGTTATTCACAGATGATGTGGTTCTGTTGGCTTCATCAGGGCGTGATCTACAGCTGTCACTGGAGCGGTTCGTAGCCAACTGTGAAGCGGCCGGGATGAGGATCAGTGCCTCCAAATCCAAGACCATGGTCTTGAGCCAGAAAAGGGTATCTTGGCTCTACCTTAGAGAGATAGGGTGAGTAGCTCAGTCATCAGGGGAGGACTCAGAGTAGAGCCGCTGCTCCTCCACATCGAGAGGAGCCATGGATGAATGGATGGATATTTCTTTTGAAGAATGCTTTTATTGTTGTTTTCTTTTGACTCTTTGTTAAAGGGGAATGCTGTTTTTTTTTTTTACGTTGGCCTCTTGATTGTACGTTATTACATCATGTTCTACTCACCCATATGAGTTTTCTGTCATTTGGAGCTGTTCTGAAGATATTCGGTTTTGTTATATCCAAGTAGTGTCTTCCTTTGGGCAACGACTTGAAGGAACAAACTAAACTGTTCATAATGTATTCTGTATGGTACGCCAGCATTCATAACATGTAGTCGAATCACTGTCCCCAAGACATCCACGGTTATATTTTTCAAACGTATATTTTTTTAAAACAAAGCAGAGTGTGTATGACATCATCCATGCATGCCAGCTACCATTCAGTCGTCCTGTCCGCTGAACTGCTGCTAGTTTTACTCACATGCCTGGCAGATGTCTAGTGCAACTACCACAGATGATCTTGCTCTCGAAAGGAATTGAACGATTCAGATTAGCTAGCTGAATGAATACAAGGGGTAGAGCGTAGCCGCCTGTGGCCCGGGATGCCTTTCACAACTCCTGTCCGACGCGTGGATGACACCATACATACTCCGCTTTGTTTAAAAAAAATATAAAAATAAAAAATATAACCGCAGATTTCTGGGGGACAGTGATTTTCCTATATGTTATGAATGCTGGCGTACCATAACGAATAAATTATGAACAGTTTAGTTTGTGCCTTCAACTCATTGCTCGTAGGAAGATGTTACTTGGATATATGACCTAACCAAATATGTTCAGAACAGCTCCAAATGACACAAAACTCATATGAGTGAGTAGAACATGATGTAATAACGTAAAATCAAGGGCCCAATGTAAAAAAAAAAAACACTGTTCCCCTTTAACCCACTGAGAGTGATATTTTCCTTGAATGGCACATTGTCTTACCATTGGTATATTAAAGCTTGGTTTAGAGAACTGTGGAAGTGATCCTCATACTTCTGCTTTAGGAAAACACATTTCACGAATTAAAAGTTTCTGGACACTTAAATAAATGCAATTAAATACATTTTATTTAAGGTAAGACAAATATATGAACAGTTATTTTTTAAAATACAAGCATTTTTTGTTTTAACGTATTTACTTTGAAGAAAAAGCATTTCTTTGAATTGTTTCTATAATTTAAGAAAAAAAACTAAAGGATTTATATTAACCCAGCAACTATAGTAATATCATTTTCTCTAACACATCTTAAAGATTTTTTTTATTTTTAAAGTTTTTTCATGTCAACAATGTCAGAGTATTTCTGACTGCACAAATGACTTTAAATAGTTTATCACAACTTTTGCTGCAGGTGTCATCTTTCTTCTCGTACTACAGTAAATAACTCCTGAGAGACTCTTCCCTGCAGCAATCTTCACATTTAAGCAAAGTATCACGTTGGCTATGAGATGGCTATGTGTCTTTTTATGTCAATTACTGATAACATAAAAGCATTTTATATAAACAAGGACACTGCTGAAGTTACATACATACAAGTACACATAGCCCATTCAAAAGTGCATGAGGGAAAATAACATAAAACTAAAGATATTGCTATGGGCAACCTATTATGTATGCAAACTGATCTAAACAATACAAACAATAAATAATGCATATATTTTTAAGGAGTATAATAACAGTTTATGACAATAAGGCTTACTGCACCTGAAATATGTACTTAAATTGGTTTACATTTAAAAGTAATAAGATCAACAATTCTGCTCCTAACTTTATTCAACTTGAAGCCATAAATGAGTGGATTCATTAGAGGAGAAATGACAAGAAATTCCATTGCAATAAAATTTTGCAGAGTCTGTGGTAAATCTTTGGATCTAAATCGATTATTAGTAACATCAATCATTATAGTCACAAGAAAGGTAGACAGAGAGATTAAATGTGGAACACAGGTTTGCACAAACTTTGCTCTGTTTTCTATAGAATTGGCACATCTTTTGATGATATACATGTAAGACCATACAATTAAGAAACCATGATTTACATAAATTACTATTGTAATATTTGCAACAATTTCATTAATATAGGTTTCATTAAGTTGACAGGCCAGTGACACAATGCTCCAGTTTACACAGAACAGTCTGTTTATATATCGACTGCATAGCTTCAATCTAGATGTAAGAAAAATGTTAACTGCAATGATAAAAAATGATGTTAACCAAAGAGAGCATGCCATCTTAATGACTCTTTGTACTGACATGACAGAGTGGTATTCCAAAGGACGACATATAGCCAAATACCGATCATATGCCATTAGGGCAAGGATTGACAGATCACTGCAGGCAAAGGTGTACAACATATGAGCCTGCAAAAGACATCCTGAATAACAGATGATATGAACAGGAGAGAGCAGATCCCAAAGAAGTTTCGGATAGAAACCTGCTGTTCCATAAAGTGCATTAATGCCAAAGGCACATAGTAGAATATACATTGGTTGATGTAATGCATTATCAAAGATGATTATCAGAATAAGAGAAACATTTACCAAGACAGTTATGCAGTAACATGTGAAACTGAGAAAAAAGAGAGCTGATCTGTAATTGCGACTTGTGTCATTTAAACCTGATAGAAAAAATATTGTAATTGATGAAATATTCATTTTTACTTCTATTTCTTTTACTTACTGTAACAATAATCTCAAAGTTGACCTGCTTGATCCAGGTTCCAGGTTACTAGTCTTACTACTCTATTTAAATAAGGTCTTCAACATCACCTTAGTAGGGATTGTCATGCAGCCAATCAGAGTTCATTAAAAACACTATTGAGTTGTGTGTGTATATGTTTTTTTTTAGAAAACAAATAATTTATTACATGCCTCACTGACTGCAACACTATGAAAATGTAGATTTTTCTCTAACTGCTCTTTTTGATAAGTACCAAAGTTTTATTTCAGGTTTTATGCAACGCTATAGTGTGTCCAACTACTCTTGGCAGCACCTTGGCAGCAGTGACTATTGAAAGCTTCAGCATTAAACTAAAAAAATATGCTGAAGACAAAAAAAGAAAAAAAAAAGACATGAAAAGGGAGTGATGTTGGTGTCTTGATTACTATGAAGGGATTTTAATAAAATTTTCAACATAGATATGTTCATACAAAGGAACAATTCACAAAAATATGGTAAAGGTAGTGGACCACGTCTTTGTGATGGACCACCTCTCCACCACCATTGACAGTGTCACCACCAAGAATTGTATCACCATGTACCCCAACCAGAAACCCTGGATGAACCGCAGAGTTCGCCTCCTGCTGAAAGCCTGCAACATCGCCTTCAGGTCAGGGGATGCACAGGCCTACAGTGCAGCTACTGAGCTGAAGAAGACATCAAGATGGCCAAACACCACTACAAATGGAAGGTGGAGGATCACTTCTCCAACTCTGACCTCAGAAGTATTTGACAAGGCCTTCTGATTCTGACAGACTACAGGACCACCAACACCTCCACCGACTCCTCCGATGTCTCCTCCCTCAACGAGCTTAACAACCGTTATGCACATTTTGAGAGGGGACAGTACAGCTGCAACCAAGGCAGCTATTACTGCAGACCAACAGCCACTGACTCTCCTCTCCACTGATGTAGGAGCGGTCCTGAGCAGGATTAAATCCAACAAAGCCGCAGGTCCTGGTGGCATCCCTGGATGTGTCGTCAGAGTGTTCTCTGGGGAGCTGGTAGGATGCTGACGAACATCTTCAACCTGTCCCTGGCCAACACTGTGGTACTGACCTGCTTCAAGTCCACCTCCATCGTCCTGATCCCCAAGAACTCCACCCCATCCAGACTCAATGACAAACGACCGGTAGCCCTCAATCCCATCATCACCAAGTGCTTTGAGTGGCTGGTTCTAGACATCCTCAGATCCTGTCTCCATCCCCGCACTGGAAACCCACCAAATTGCATACAGGCAGAACAGGAGCACAGAGGATGCAGTCTTCATAGCGCTGCACTCTGAATAGTAACAACACAACAGTAGAACACTTAAGCCAGAATGCAGTTCATAGACTATACTGCAGCATTTAACACTGTCATTCCATCAAAACTCATTACGAAACTCACAGACCTTGGCATCAGTCCACTCATGTGTAACTGGTTTCTTGACTTTCTGACCAGTCGGCCCCAACATGTCCGGCGGGACAACCATCTCTCAAGCTCCATCACCATAAACACCGGATGGCCACGAGGCTGCAAGTTGAGTCCCTTCCTCTACTTCCTCCTCACCCACGACTGCAGACCTGTCCATGGCTCCAACACCATCACTAAGTTTGCAGACGACACCACAGTGATCGGCCTCATTAGAGACAAAGATGAGGCCACCTATAGGAGGTGGACCATCTGGCTGAGTGGTGCGACACAAACAACCTGCAGCTGAACACCAAAACGACCAAGGAGCTCATCGTGGACTTTAGGAGGAATGCTAACCCACATCCACCCATCCACATCAAGGGGATAGTGGTGGAGTGTGTGGACAGCGTCAAGTTCCTGGGAGTCCACATCTCCGAGGCCCTGACCTGGACAACCAGCTGCTCCAAACCCATCATCAGAGTCTCTTCTTCATGAGGAGCCTGAAGATGAGCTATCTGTCCTCAGGGATCCTCAAAAACTACTATCACTGCACCATTGAGAGCATCCTCACCAACAGCATCACAGTTTTGTGGGGTAACTGCTCTGCCTTGAACCGGAAGGCGTTGCAGAGGGTGGTGAAAACTGCCCAGTGCATCCCCGGGGCAACGTTTCCTGCCATCAAGGACATCTACAGGAAGCGGTGTATGAGAAGGGCTGGGAAAATCACTAAAGACTTCACTCACCCTGCACTCACACTCCTCTCACACCTGCTCTCTGGAAGGCATTACAGAAGCCTACGGACTGGAACCACCTGGCACTGGAACAGCATATTCCCCACAGCTGTCATGCTCCTGAATACCTCCTGAAACCAACTATAAGGACTTCTATTCTATTGTATTGTATTGTATTGTATTGTATTCTATTCTATTGTATTCTATTCTATTCTATTGTATTTAATTGTATTGTATTGTATTGTATTGTATTGTATTGTATTGTATTCTATTCTATTCTATTCTATTCTATTCTATAGATCCAGATCTTGTGCAAGTTTAAGCTATAGGTGTAAATCTCAATGTGGGGCAAAATACACTGCTTGGGAGAGGTCTGTGCACTCTGCATGTTTTTTCTAGTTCAAAATGCATTGACCAACACATTCTCATCTCTATGCTTCGGCCTTGTGCAGACTTAAGACATTTATTGTGAAGGTCCAATATTTCTCACAATTCTGTCACTTTTTAGTAGCAGAATGTTCCTTTCCTTTACCAAGTTATTATCAGATGATCTATTGATATATTTTTAAGAATTTAGTATTTTTTTGTAATCTCTGCATTGCATCAATGGCACTCTTCCAAATATGACAAGACAAGCCAAGTTTATGTGTGTAGCACAGTTCTATACATAGATCATCCAAAGTCCCTTGTATGAATTAACCAATAAAATAGAAGCAAAATAAAAGCAGAATGAAAGCAAATGAAGATAAACATATGATAAAAGCAATAAAAAGTTAAAAAGGACAAGTAAAAAAAAAAAAAAAAAAAATGAACAAAAGAAAAAAACTGTTGGACCACAAACTTAAATCAATGTCTCAGTTCACTGAGGTATCAATTGTGGTTGGAGGAGAGCACAATTTCTCCCTTGGGGTAAGCTCCCTAATACTTTAGGTCTAAAACATATCTACACATCTTGTGAGGAACTGAGAGGTCATGTGAGACAGATTTCACCAGTGCAAAGTCCTACTGAGGTATGCCTGCTGGGTGGTCCCTTTTACTTAGGGCCGAGTATTCTCTGTTAGAATGTGTCTCCATTGAGGTAAGAAGAATGTGAGAAGTTTAAATTCTGCCTGCAACTCCAATTTATATACTTTGTATAAAAACTACAAATATGTATGTTAAGTTGATTTTATTCTCTGCTTAGTCTGAAAATGCTTGTCTAGAAAAACAAATCTAATTATTGCGGATAATTCATACAGGCAGAACTGGTGTTGATGTGATGTTTGGCAACTATTGTACACCTACATGAAAAATAGAAAATGAAAAGTCGAACATTTTGTCTCTCATTTCAGAAAGTGAAATGAATTCTCTAAATAGGGTGGAAACTTTAAATCCTTTTTTTTTGCAGAAGGCATAATAAAAACCTTATGTTCAGAATTGTCATGATTTAATTAAAGATTTGACCCAAATGCAGAAGATCAAACAGAGAGACCAGGGAAAAGTTTAGCAGGTTTATTTAGTATAATGAGAGGAGTCCAGTGCTGCTCTGAACACTGTCAAACCGGAACTGGAAAGTGAGGGGAAGACACTGCGGTTAGTTCAGGCTCAGTGGGAAATTAGATTCTTTGACTTGAAGAGGAGGAATAGGTTGCAGACTCACGGTTCCAGAAAAATGTGTCTTTTATTGAATCCAGTCAGTGTGGGATGTTCCAGTGATTATCTTGTTTGATGGTGGGAGGACAGGGTTTACCCAGATTGCGGTTGTTCCTTGGTGAACGGAGAAGCTGACTGCCACTTAGATTTCCTGCGGTACTTGAACGGGTTACTGTGTAGATGAGTCCCCTGCTCAGAGAGAAGCCCCAGACAATTCTTTTGGGGAAAGGTTGATCCAAACCACAAACTTGAATCCTCAGCTCAGTTTGGTTCTCATAAGATCCTTCCAGGGGAGAGAAGGTCTAAAACATCCAGTTTGCAGGATGACTTCCTGCCGAGAGGCAAAGACAAAAACAGCAAGGTTAAAACTCAGGTAGACAAAAACTCAGTTTGACTCAGCAAAACTCAGCTTGGCTAGAGTACCCAAAACTGGCAAACACTTTGGCGTCGAGGTAGTGGCAGTCAGCAGCTTAAGAGCACTCCACAGGTAATGAGGCAACAAGCTGCAGGTGTGCAGGGAGGCCCAATGAGGATGGGGCACCACCTGGTTGAGGAGGAAAGGAAACACAAAAACAGACCACACAAACTGGATTCCTGACAAGGATGTTTCTCAAATAAATATATTTTTACAGAAATGCCAGTTTTCTGAAAAGTATGTTAAGTTCTACAAAATCAGTTCTTGTTGGGACTGTTTTTAAATAAATTGGTGTATTGTGATCTTGACTGTATCTCTGATTCTGTAATAAGTTCAAATCAGCTTAGTGTGCTGGCCAAGCACAGTAACACCTATGCTTTTAAACCAGCTTTTGTTCAATTTAATAGTGCGGGCAGCTGCTGAAAAACAAAACCAGCATCTTCATAAAATCTGTATTAAGAAGTAAGTATGTATACTGCAAGATTCATGTCTTAACTCAACTGAAAAAAACAAAAACAAAACAATAACAACAAAATACCAACACCAGCATATGACATACACCATAAATCATCTGAATGTGCAATTTTTCCATTGGACTTCAGACTGCATCAATCCTGGGCCTCTCAAAAAGAAAAAATAAATTACCCTGGCACCTTGATTTCCGTATCAAAATGCAACCTTACTTCACTTGAAGAGGGATTTTGTAACCAAAGAGCAACAGCCCGGTCCCAAGTAAAACACTTTTAGCGCTTCTGTAGGATTCGCCTGTTCTTTGTGGTGCTTAGTGCACTGACTCCCAATTCAGTCGAGTCCTTTCGAGCCGCAAATACTTGAATGAATTTTGTTGGAAAGTCGTCTCAAGGATGCGGGTACAACTATTGCTAGAGCCTCTTTTAAACAAAGCTTTTCCTTTCATCAAATTTTCAGTAATTGTGCATAGGTGCACCTTTATGTAATCAGCCAGTGGTTTATTCTTGATTTGAACAGTAAACAATGACTGTCTAGTAGAAATCTGTCCAGTCAGAAGTCGGACCCATAATTTGTAGCCCACTGGCCTAGAATAAGCAATCATTTAAATGCTCAGGAAACTTTTGCTGGTGTTTTGCGTTTATAAGCTGATTTGTGTAAATTGGTTGATAATCGTTTAAGGTTATTCTGGTTTTCTATGGCATAATTGGACGTTTTCATTACACCAGCAAACATTATCAAGAAACAACTTTAGACTCAATGTATCAAGTTATTGCCACGTTTTGCAGGTTTTGGGCTGTACAGAGATTCAGACCACAAATACGGATGAGCTCATTGAGATCTATAATAGTAAAAGAGAAAATTGTAGTCCATAACTTTTATTTGTTTAAATAATTTAAGAAATGCTTAAATTTGACTATTTGACTCTGTTTTGCAGGTATCATTGTTTTACACTATACTTCCCCTAGACATTACAGCTGAACCAATCTAAGACTTGTGCCTAGAACTTTGAACAGTTGCTTGGGGATCAGCCTCAAAGAATATTTTACAGTGTAAAAAATGATTTTACTAAATGTGATTAAAGAATTTACAATCTTCTTACAGAACAAGAATGAACAATGAAATGAAGAAAATACAAACACAATAAAATTAAACTGAAACACCAATCTCCAAATCTTATCTTTATGTAATATATGAAGGACATTTCTCATAGGTTTTAAAACAAGTATACAAATATATAACCCTAAAATTTTGAGATTTATCCACAAATAGCACATGAGAAGGGATTTATATAGACTTCCCAAAGTTTCCGGATTATTTTTTGTGAATTAATGCATGAACTGCCCACGAACGAACAGTTGTTCCCAATTCATGTAAAACAACACATTTCTCTGATCTTGCAGAGCATTTATTCACCCAAACTGTCCTTAATGTTTATATATCATCTTTTATTAGTGGTTGAGGTGGAACGTTCACAGAGGGTGGAAAATAAAGATGATAATCAGAAAATGTGTTAAACATAAGATATATTTTATTTATATATTAAGGCAAAAGTAGTGAAAACAACAGAAATAACCTTGGAGTATGAGTATTTGTTTTGGTACATAAAATATAAGAATTATTGTGGTTATTGTGTGATAACTATAAAAACATTAAATGTATGTGATAACTTTTTCCATATCATTGAATGATGTAAGTCTACTAATGACAAATTCTCAAGTCTCTCTGCCCTCTTTGCGAATAACCTCTCCAGCTGATTAAACAAGCAAACAACGAATAAGTAACAACTTTTATGACTCAATGCCTCAGTGTACAAAGCTGATCTACGTCTTAATCAGAGGAAAGATGTATGCCTGAGTTAACTCCTTTGATACTTTAAAACCTAATGAGAACCCATGGGATGGCATTATTCTCACTGCCTCATTTGGAAGTGGTCAATAGGTCATTATTACTATCCCTCTGGTGCAATTAAATACACTTTGCTTCCTCAAGGCCATTGTTGAGAATTAAAAAAATAGTTTTTGTTGTTGCACATGGTCAAGAAAAACAGCCTTGACATACAAACAAAAAAAACAAAAACACTGAAGTGACTGGACCAACCATTGCTTCTGTTATGACTTGGTTGTTTTTCCTGATAAGAAAATAAATTGTAAGGGAAGACAAACATTTATACTAACAATGTATCAAATTTAAAGTGGCCAAAGGTGAAGTTTCAATATCTGTATTACGCATATTTAAAATTCAGGTGCAATTTTGACTACAAAAATGTTTGTTGTCATTGTGGCTCTACAGACAGATAGATGACAGTGGGAGAGTCTGCTTTTTGCTTGTCAACATATTTGAACAATCAAAGATAAATAAATTCAGGACAATTCCTCCAGTAATCATAGATGTCTGCTGCATGTTTAACTGCATTATACATTGAAACATGCTTAAAAGAACAGCGCATTTATAGCCACCTAAGGACAAAACAGCTTTACTGTATGTAAATCATTAACAGAGAAAAAAAGGAACAAAAAGCATATATGCGCACTAAATATGTTTTTTATGCCAGGCTGATAGGTGGTGGGCTGGAACTGCCACAAAGATTAAGATTGTAGAAGATGGAATAAGGGACTAGAAGATAAACAATGGCCCAATACCAAACCACTGCTCCTTAGCTCCTATAGAGTGCAACTCCCAATGAAGTCACACTCTAAACTATGTAGGGTGCCTTGATTGAGGAACAGCCTCTTCCCTCCAACGAAGAAGGAAAGCAGTTGTTGCTAATTCATGTCAAGCTGCACCACAGAGCTACAGCCATGCATGTGGGGCGTCCCTGTGTTGCCATAGCAATGACCGCATACCTTTGGGAGGGTAGAGTGCGCCCCATTCTAATTTTTCCCCTTGGCCTTCAATCAAGGAACCCTGCACAGTGAGTATCACTTCATTGGGAATGACACTCCATAGTTAAGGGGCAATGCTTATGGTGCGGTTTGAGATTTATGCCATGCAGACTTACTATTTATGGGCTGAACAGTCCACTCACCTTACCTACTAAGGGTTTAGTGCTTAGGTGAAGTGTTTATGGGCTTGTTTATGAGTTGTCAAATTAATGCAGAAGAAAGAGAAAAACATTTTCTGGACAGATGTAGAAGAATCACAAGTAGTAACTAAAACCAACAATAAATTCCATAGCTTCTAAAACAGAAAAGAACCCTAACTCTAAAGTACGTTGAAGTAGATACTTGTGTTGGCACATGCATGTTGTATAAAGCACGTTAACTAGAAAGAGGTTGGGGAATTGCTAAGGTAAAAACAAAAGTATGTTTTATTCTGTGGTAATATGTAGAAATGTGCCATTAAAGGGTTAAACAGCCTGTTCCCTACAGCCAACAGCTCTGCAGCTGCAATAACAGAAACCCTGACATCAGAGGCAGCTTTCATCGAGTGTAAAGAGCTTCATCTTTACACTTCTATTAATCTGTAACCTTTTTTGTTCATGTTATATAATGTTAAAACCTAATCTTAACTCATCTGCAAAATGTTGATTGTTTCACTGCTTATATATTTTTTCTTAATTCTAGGAAGTTTGGGACGTTAAACTAAGACTGGACTTTGCAGGTGACTCAGAAAGGTTTGAAAATAAGTCTGTTATGCAGTAACTATAACAGAGAGGGAAAGCAAAGAGAAGCAACTGCTTGCAAGAGACAACAGACGAACTTTGCTCCCTAGTCAGAGACTGCTTTGTGGGGGAGATCAGAAAAACTACAAGGGACGACAGATAAGAAATAGTATTTGAAAAGACATTTCAATGGCGTACCGACTTTTTGAAGGAAAGGAACATGCTTCCATCTATCAGCAGTATCGTTTCACTCCTCCCTCTGGCCTCAAGGATATCATTATTCAGTACTTGGACAAAAAGGTAGGACTTGTCAGTAAAAATTTTGGTGTTTGAAATTATGTTTTAACTAGAGATTCACTGATCCTGTATTAATATCCGTATCGGTCCTGATAAAGAGAAGAATTCAAGATGATGTGTCGATGAAAGGGCCTGATCCACAGGAGCAGATCTTTTTAGTCTGTTTCTATAATAAATCACATATTACCTTATATTTGTTTTCAGGTTGGAATTTGTCCTGTTAACACAATTTACTGTTTTAATGACTTTTTTCTGACCTTACTGTAATCTCCAGTTGTTTCCTTTTGGCATATACATATTATACTTGCTTGAAGACAAGAGTTTATGACAGACTTTTAAAAAGTAAACATTAATTATGAGCAAAATATCAGGAACTGCAGCTATCCAAATTAAAGTACTGAATTGGATCAGAGATTAAAAAATGTGGATCAGTGCATCCCTACTCTAAGCGGTGTATATAGCCCTTTGAAGCTACTTATCATCCGTTTCTTTCTACAGAAAGGACGGCCACATCTGCTTGCTGTAGATCTGGGATGTGGGACGGGTCAGCACAGTCGGCTGCTTGCACCGCACTTCAAAGAAGTGGTCGGCATTGATATCAGCGATTGCCAGCTGGAGGAGGCCCGGGCCGTGCCAGGATACACTAACATCACATATCGGTAAGCAGGGGTTAATGCTTCTGTATATAAAGAGCTTTATTAAAAAGTGATGATGTTCTTTTCTTGTCTAAAATAACATTAGATGCAAGATGATTAATGCGCTAAACAACTGCACAGCCAGTTAAAGCTTCTGCCTTTCCACACTAATGCTTTACTGCTTGTGTTTCTGTAACTGATCAGAAGACTATAAGATAATTTTTTAATATGGCAGTTCAATCAATTTCATGTTCAAATAACTGATCTGACTTAAACCTCAAAGTGAATATAATGTAACGAAAGTAATTTCGCCCTGGGATCATTAAAGTATTTCTGATTCTGAATCCTGGTTGATGGGACAGGTGTTGTGAATGAAACGGTGCCCAGATTGAAAGAGCCCCTGTGTGTCGCTGAATGTGTGCATTGATGACTGAAAGACATCCTCTGCCTCCATTTATCTGGTTACTACAGTGTGTTGAATTCATGTTAATGTGTATTTAAAGACATTTCAATTAGTGGAAAAAATTGCAGGGGGGAATGTAAAAAAAAGTGTAATCAACCAAAACATTTGCGACCCCCATGCAGTACCTCTGTGGACCCTCTAGGGGTCGCGGACCCCCTGTTGAAGACCTCCGCTTTATGTTATGTTATGTAATTCCTTTATGTAATTCTTGCATTGATTTACACATATAGGCAGTAACACATTTACTTTTGGTTTGGAGAAACTGAATGAGTAAAAAATAAGAAAAACAGTTGGATGGATGTTGCTCTGCACTCATGTTAAGTTATAGCATGTTGTTCAACAGCTCACTGTCCTTAGCCCTGTTTCATTGCTTTCTCTCTTTGAAGCCTAGATATTGATTCTATCGTTATTCACTCGTCTCCTTGTTGCATTTGCAGTAAAGGGACAGCAGAAGAGCTTCCTTTTGAGAACGGCACTGTAGACTTGTTAACAGCAGCTTCTGCAGCACACTGGTTTGACCAGTCCAAGTTTCTACTTGAGGCCAATCGGGTCCTTAAACCAAGGGGCTGCATGGCTCTGCTGGGCTTTGCAGACAATAACATCAGATTCACCTATAAGGATTGTGGAGAAAAACTAAATGGCATCTACCAGGAGGTAGGTGTAAACTTAAAAACATCTGGTGTTTATAGTTGACGCACAACAGAATGATCTGTGTTGTCTATAACAGTACAGTAATAATTGATGGCTGTGAGGGATTTGCACAAACCAGCAAGAAAACCACTGAAAAAGGTCTTAATTTATTTTAAAAAAAAGGTCTTAATTTATTTCAAAAAAGTGTTCAAAAAATGATAACAGGGCCAAAAAACAAATAAAAAAAAAACACACACACACTTCAAATGAGGTACTAACATAAAGTACTCAAGCACAAATTGACCTATCAAACAAGACATGAGGGAAACTTAAATAGTTGCTGATCAGATAACTGTTGACACACAAGGAGGATAACTGACTGACAAACTAATAAACTTAATTAAACAGATAAATACTAGCCAGACACTAAGTACTTTTTAAATTTAACAAATTAACAAAACTACCCAAAACTAAGAATATCTAAACAAATGATAAAACTGTTTTCCCTCATTGCAGCCCTCCAGCAGCAGATCCAAAGGAAACTGGAAAAGGAAATGAATCAATTGCTTTTTAACAAAAATCTAACAACCTGACAAATGAAATTAACTAAATGTGCGCACTGCAAATAGTTAACTTAAAGTCGGGCTAATGAAAATATTTGAAAAGTGCAACTCATTTTGAAAATGAAAAATATAAAAGTTACATCACAGCTTTAGAATGTGACAGCAGGCTGTCATAATGTCTTATTTTTGCAACAGATGTTTTTGTTTGCATAAACTTTTAAAAACATATTAAATGCTGACTGTCTGTGGCAAATATTTTTCTTTACATACCAAGAGTAGCAAGCCATCATTGCATTTGCCATTGTAAGAACTTCAATTCATTCTATTTATATAGCACCAATTCACAACATGTATTTTCAAGGCACTTTACATTAACAATTCATCAAGCAGTCCAGAGTAATTAAAAGTTTTCTATCTAAGGAAACACAGCTGATTGCATTAAAGCATTGACTTTGCAGGATTCACTCTTTCTGGATCAGCATATGGTGACAGTGGATATTCCCTTGCATTGTGTCGACCACAGCAACCCTTCACTCTGAACACACATGTAGCAACAGTGCAGAGATAAAAACTCCCTTTTTACAGGACAAAACATGCAGCTGAATCAGGCTCAGGTTGACTGGGGTTTAAGAACAGATGACATACAAAAGGAATATAGAGGCACTTATCCATAGATGTTTCTGTTATTTCTAAAAGTTTAATGGTAAATTGACTCCAAAAAACAGTTTATCAAAAAGCTTTAAGCCATTCATTCGGCATCATGCAAGAAGCATTTCTACCAACACAGTTTTTCTTAAATTGTTCATACAAGTGATTTAGGGGGAAAATGTTGCATTCACCATTTTTATCCGATTTCTATATCTTCTCTCAGGTACAGATTAATTTTAAGAGTGCTCCAGACTTAATGCAGAAGTTTTTTCGCAATCATTCAGCTGTAATACAAAATTACTTTTTCACTATATGACCACATTTGTTGTTTTTGAGAAACAGTTCTCAATTTTATTAGGCTGTATCACTTATCCTCACACATGAATAAATCAAGTTAGCACATAGCTGCTGTTTTAATTATTTATATAGTTAAAAGAATAACTGTCCCGGATTTTTTTTAACTCCTTAATGTTTTTATTAAATAAATGCCATGATTCTGAGGCTTTTTTTAAAGCTCTAAACTAGTTTTAAAAGGAATGTTCATTTTTAACTGAACCTGGTACAGTTCAAAAGAGAAACATCAGTAACAACAGCATTTACGGTAATAATGTTTAGACTTTGAGAAGAAAAAAAAAATAAGATGCAGTGCATGCCCTTTGTTCTGGGATATGGGACTGATTGTTGATTCTCTGTATTACATCACCATCAGGTAAAGGAGTTGCTGCGACCCTACACAAGCAACCCAGTTGCTGTATCAGAGAGTAAACTGGAAAGCCTGTACTCTGCCATACCTTTTCCTGACAAGGAGAGGTAATAACCTCCAGTTGATTTGGCATTATGAGAACATTTTATCGCTTTACTTCACTTAATTTTTATACAGATATAGTTCCTATGAGGCTTTATTCAAATTGAAAATTTTCATTGTTCTTTATCCAATGTTGATCCAACAGGATTGAGAGTTTTCCGAGCAAATCCATGATCTCAGTCAGAAGGTTGGTGGGTTTTATTAGCAGTTGGTCAATGTACAATTCATTCAAGAGAGAAAACCCTCAAGGAGCTGAAGACCTGCTGACTAACTTTCAAAAGCGGTAATATTCTGTTCTTCATTCAATAACCACTTTCTGATGCCTGTAATTCACATTTTTTTTGTTTAGTTCACCTGCATTGAGGAATAATACCTCTGTGCAACTAATCTATAAATGATGTATTTGCAGGTTCCTGGATGAAATGGGTGTCACTTCTGTTGATACTGAAATAGAGCGGGAGTGGCAATATTTCTGCATCCTGGCTTCAAAGCCCCTATAATCAACAGCACAGCTTGGATACATGTTTAACAAGAAAATCACTCAGAGACCCTCGAAAGAGAAAATGTTGCCCCATATTGTGACTTACACTTATAGTTAGAACTCACACGTGAACCTGAATAATTACCAAATGTTCTAGTGTCACCTTCTTCAATCACTCTGCACTCTTGTTTGACTTCAAGGAAGGCATGCCCCACCTTTAATGTTTTTGTCTTCAGCAAAATACTTTTGGACTTTCATAATACTTTCTTGGACTTTAGGTCCCCCTAACTCTCTGGTTTAGGGGGGACCTACTTGTTTAGCTAAATAAAGTAAAACAATCCTTTAAAATAAGTCCTGCATCTGGACTATGATAAGGATCATCATTAAAATGTAATGGATGGTTTCTCGGACTGAGGTGCACCTTTGGAAAAATGTTCATTAAAATCTGTTATCAAGTTATGGAGACAGAAAGACTTGTCTAAAAACATGACCATGGCAGAGGTAAAAACACCGTCAGAGTTAATGGAGGATGTTGTCATTTATATTTCCACCATAGCTAAGAATAATCTATGTATGTACTTTTATACTCAGGTACTCAAGTTTCATACCACCCTTATATATAGGAATTATATGGTTTTTTTTTTTTAAGAGAATATGGATAATAATGATAAAAAACTTTCAAAATGATTCTGATCAAAAGTTTACATAAATATGTGTGAATTATTGTATGTCAGCTATTTACATCAATTCATATTCTGAATGCCCATCAGCCTTAAAGCTATGTTAGATTTTCAGCAACATCTATTGGTCTGACTGCAGCGACACGGACACAACGTCTCTCCCCTCCAACAAATCAGAGGCCATCATGGTTCAAATTGGGTTCCTCAACATTGCCTCTACCTATTTTGTCAAGTGATGATGCTTATTTAAATTAGATCACAGCATCAAGTTCATAAATGCTTTAATATTTGTTTCTTAAGTACATTGACAAGAATAGAAATGAGTATGAGTAAGTATCATTGGTGTAGTGAAGGGGGCTGCGGAGTCAAGCTTTTTAAAATCAAAATGGAAGAAATGTTGATGAAGGATAATGTAGGGAATGCTCTTAAGAGGTTTGTGACAGACTTAAATTTTTTTTTTTTACTTTAGTCGGACCAGCTGATCCCCTCTCTTATCCAGCTCTGCAGCTCAGTCCGCCCACAGGCTCCTCTGATCCTCAGCGGTTCCCCGTCCATTTCCAGCAGTTAGCCTCCAAAGCCTCAGACTGAACTGGAGTAGTTTTAATTTTTTGCCTTAATTTTATCTTTAAGCACTTCAACGCTGTTAAACGAAAGTGAGCTATGGATGGATAGATGGTTGGTTTATTTGTGAGGAATAAAGAAAAGTGCTTTTCAAATCTGGAATTAAGCTAAATTAATCAAATAAAGACATGCATTGTAATTAGAGACATAGTTTATAATGCTGTGTACTGTCTAGTGTGATATAGATGGTACAATGTGCATGATACAGACTGATTGTTTGAATGTTACACTAATTTTTCCAAATAAAATTCATTGTTATTTTGTGTATTTGTTTCTATTTTAACAAACAACTGTGTTCAGATTGTTTTTCCTTTTGTTTGATACATCAGTGTTGTTATGTGACAATGTTTCTGTTAAACAACTTTCTGCCAACTTACATGCAACCCCCCCCCCAATGCATGAGCAAAAAGCAGCACAGTGGATAGAAGTACCTGACTTGGGATCTGCTTTTGGACTTATATAGAAACTTATGGATATTTTCACATACAGTATTCCAAAGTTTCAAACAGAAACCATCCAACCTTTTCTTATAACTCACTGAATTCCTCATTTTGACCTGGTTTTCTATTCTGTTTATCACAAACTTATTTCAGATCAAAGAAAAGCACTTTTAAAAATATGCAGAACACAGAAGATTTGTTTTGCTGTTGCCCCATTTAAAGGCCCTCGTTATGAAGCACAGCACGTATGCATGGAGGCGTTAATCCACCCATTTCGCCAGCACCCCCACTGCTTTCCCCTTTGTTTAGCCCAGTGTGCTGAATCTGCCGGCCTGCAGAAAGGAATTTGAACCCTGTACATGAGGAGGATTTCTTCTCTTGTCCAGCAGGAAAATTGAATTGCTTGTTTTTACTTCAAACAGCTATGACTTACAGACTTTTTGAAGGTAAGGACCATGCTGCTTCCTACTGGAAGTACAGGATCTCTCCATCAAATCATTTAATCAAGGAAGTTCTGGACTTTCTGGAAAGGCATGTAAGTACAAGCAGTGAACTTGATGCTTTGGATTTATGAGGAACAAATAAAGGATTTCATTTGAAACCATTTAGTATATGCAACTTAATTTTCCCAGGGAAGTCGTCCCTTTGAGCTGGCTTTGGATGTGGGTTGTGGCTCTGGTCAGGGCACACAGCTCCTGTCTAAACACTTTGCTTCAGTTGTGGGGACAGACGTGAGTCCTGCTCAGTTGGAGGTGGCTCTCCACCAAGCTACAGAGCCAAACATCACATACAGGTAAATCTGAATTTACAAACCAAACCTTGTAGACTGATTCCCTCCGGGTCTCCTGATTTTTTCTGCACTGTATTAAAAGCTTCAGTGTACAGAGGAGGCGCCACGTGGAACTTCCAGCCATAAAACCACATTTAACAAACCTTCTCCCCAGTTTGTATTTTCTGAAGGACTTCACCATCCTACTGCTTCTTTTACCTTTATTGTTTGTGCTCTATTAAAAAAAACACTCTCACGACGTAGGTAGGCATGTGACAATTTCAAATTTTGCTGTTTGGCAAATTTTCCCAGAATTTATTGCAACAAACCAAAGATATTATCATTCAAATTCCATCCAAAATGCTCCCACATTGCAGCTGTTGTGTTCTTCTTTGAAACCAAATGAATCTCTGTGTTTCTAGTATTGCTCTGGCTTTCTGCTCCTTATACATGAGGCCATCATAAAACACTTTCTATGCTAAGGAAACGATAAGGGGAGGGGAGAGTGCATGGAAGCTCCTAGTTGAAGGCTTTTGTTATCTACACTCTTTAGCAGAAAGAAAGGGAGATACAAAGCAGGGTAGATTTTAGTGGCAAGAGAATTTAGGATGCTACACAGTGCCAAGGGAAAAGTACATTGAAAAAGTAATTCATAATAATAAAATTAAAAACAATTGCATTGGATTACAGACTTTAAGTAATGTGCTGATGAAGGTTCTCAGTCATCCAGGTCAAAGTCATTCCGTAAAAATTCAAAAAATATCCAGTGGATATTTTTTGAATTTTTACGGAATGACTTTAAGTAACGGTGTATAGTCAAAGGCCACTCTAAACAATAAGCATTTAATCTATATCTGAAGAAATTTCTAGCTTTAGTAGGTTAACAGTTTTCAGGAAGTTTATTCCAGATTAGGGGATCATAAGTACTAAAAACTGCTTCTCTGAGGTGATGTGCTCCACTATATTAGTGTTAGTGAGGACACAGGCAGCAGCATTCTGGATCAACTGCAGCTGACTGATTAACTTTTTAGGCAGACCTGGTAGAACACAGTTTCAATAATGAGGTGTACTAAATGTAAATGCATGAATTAGTTTTTACAGGTCCTGTTGAGAGATTCGAAGATATTCTTTGTCACAGAAGGCTGACCTTGTTGCTGTTTTTATGTGCTTCTGAAGTTCCAGGTCTGAGTGCATCACCATCCCTCGATTTCAAGCCTGATTGGGTTTTTTTTTTTTATCAGAAGCTGTGTGCAAACTTTTAAACTCTCCCCCTGAAGAATATGTTCCATTTATCCAATGCTTGAATGTGAAAAGAAGCAAGCATGGAAATGTAGACTATTGAGCACATTGACACTTATGCAATTGATTTTAATACGACAGGCCGAACTACAGGAACTGGGTTACAGAAACAAGTTTTTTAGTACCTAAAAGATTTAGCTATCTGAATATATTATCAGCAATGTCCTTAGTTATGCAGACTGCATACACTGTTATAGCAAAAACAAAACATTTGCAAAATATTGTGCAGCCAAAGGGAAGAGTTGATTGAAGGACAATGATTAAACAGGATGATCTGGGAAGTAAACCTTGTGAAGGCTGCAAAAAGCTTAAGACTAGAGCAAATGATCAGCTTCCAGCAGGACAAACACTAGACCTTCAGTCAGAGTTACAATTGATTAAAGCAGAATCACATGTTACAACTAAAGGTCTGACTGAAAATAGGTGACAAGACTTTGAAAAGGATCCAGAGACTATAAAATCGTAGTTTATTTCTTTTTTTTTTACAGACAGCAAAAAATCTGAAAATGTAAAACCTTCTGAAAAGCATACTCTTTCATTAAAAAATAAAATAATTTTTGTTTGCAATGTGAAAGGACAAATGATTCATGAGGTTTGAGTAGTTTTGCTGTACCGTCGCATTTCTCGTTAACCTCTCGCTGAGCTGGAATGGGAAATATTAGCGCATATATGACCATCGCTGTATATTGACTTTCATAGGTCAAGGTCAACACTGTTGGTGTCTAATACTTGTGTTTTCAGAAGTGCAGCATCCACCTCCTGCATGTATAAAAAGTCCCTTCTAGCTGAAAGTCTTATTTTTCTTTCCCCTCACAATTTATCTTTAGACAATGTGCGGCCGAGGAGCTGCCCTTTGCTGACAGCTCAGTGGACCTGGTGACGGCCATGTCTGCCTTTCACTGGTTTGACAGGCCACGGTTTCTGAGTGAGGCCCACAGGGTCCTGAAGCCCCAAGGCTGCTTGGCTCTGCTCAACTACACAATTGAGATGGAGCTCAGCTACCAGGACTGCTGCAAACACACACTAAACCAAGTTTGCAAAGAGGTAAATCAAAATGTTTTATATGAAACACACATACATCGACACTTTAAAAAAAAAGAAACGAAACAAAAACAGGAAACCCCCCCAAAAAATAGCTGTCAGTTGATTTTTCAGTAATGGAAAAGTATTTTTTTTCAATGCTTAATTATTTGCTGTTGTTATTATAGTATAAGTTTAGATGGTTTATGTTCGTTCACCTAACTCTTTAAGACTTTAGTTTTGATTTTTTGATATAGAGTTGTGTTTAAGAACTTTCACAGTTGTGGAAAAAAAGCGAAACAAAAGGTTAGCTTCACTAACAGATATTACTTCTCTAAAGGTTATAGCTACAAGTTTTTTTTTTTTTTTTTTTTTACCAAAATAATGAATTTTTCCAAAACAAAACAACCTCAGAACATCTAGATTGAATCTGAAGAAAAACATTAATTTTACTTAAAAAAAAAAATGGTATGTCAATAACTGTTTTATACATTGTGACAGGTCAAAAAAGTATAAATATGTACAACTGTTTACAATGCAAATATTGAAAAGGAAAAATTCTGCACCAATAGAAATATTATATATATTGGGCTCAGGCATTACCAGACCATAGTAGCAGCATGATAGCTCTTGCAATTTGCTTTGTGGTGTTACATTTCCCTGATTGAAGCCGACCAAAAAGGAGACAAAACCAAAGTGTACATTGGTCAAGCTTTTGAGTGTAACTACAAACTTTTCCCCACTTTTACCAATGAAACATTTTGAAGCTCATCAGCTAAAACTAAATGGCAGCACTGCATAAAAACTAATAAGTGATGTTAACGTTGTGTGGAGTATTGGTTGGAAACAACAACCCTTTCAATCCTCAGTTGGCAACGGTTCTAGCCTTCTTTTTATGTTCTGACTAGAACCAGATCTATTTATACTGTTAAAAAAAACACACACACACGTAATTTCTGGATTACAAAACTTGGAGCTGCAAGCTATAGAGTCTCAGGAGCAATCCATAATTTAAGCTCCAAATCAGCCTGGTTCAGGTTCAAATCAGGCTTTAAGACTTGCCTTTCTCAAAGTACTGTTTATTTGTAGTATATACAATTTATCGTTATTACAAAACATTATAATAATAGATATATAAAAAAAAAAATCTGCCAAGTCCATAAGCAAGTTGTAATTAATTGCTATAGATACTCATTTATAATGGAACAGTTAAAAAGGATTTTTTAAATTATTATTATTTTCTTAATTTTGTTTCACTGGAATTTATTTTCAGATTATTTTCAAAGGTTAAAGCTTCTTGGAATATTTGACAGCCATGACTTTTTCAATGCCATTTGACAAAGCTACCAATTCTGCCCTCTGGTGTTTGTTTTACACATACAAATTCCTCTTAAATAATTTTTCATGCCCTCTACTGATTTACATTTGACCTTTTTAATCTTTAAATCAGACAGTTATTTTCTTATGTTTTGAAGAAGGACATAACTTTTCTCTTTAACAAAATCTGACTGAATAAACAAACATAGGTCAAAGAATATAAGATTGTATTTGGCAGGAACATGGGGTTCCACTAATGGGAATCCAACTCATCCCCCATATGGAAATATGTAATTCTGTCCTATTAGTGTCTGAAAAATACACTGAGGTAAACATAAAAATCAATAGACTATATTAAAGGCAGCTGGACACAAATGTATAAATGTATATGAATCCTAGCTAGTAAAACAGAGATCAAATTTTGTGGCACTCTATTCTCTACTCTTACAGTTTATCAGAATTGCCATAAGATATCACAATATTGGGGTACATGACAGAAAACTACCAATTATAATAATATATAGCATCTATCAAATACAACTATGATTAGGAAAAGTTGTTTAAAAGTTGGACTTGATGATGCAATTAAAATTTACATTTGTTTTTTGTTTTTTTCCAAAAACTGATTTTGTCAGGTTTGGTGGACGTTATTTGAGGACCCAAATGCAGAGATGAGGAGATAAGTTCTTGCAGATTTAATTTAAATGTAGATGCAACAGAAGCATTAATCAGGAAAATAAAAAAAGAAACCTGTAGATGTTTGGGAGAAACACACGGGGAGCGAAGCAATGAAGAGGATATATTGAAAACAGAACAAAAAATGGGCTAATCAGCCGTTATGGGGAAGGTGTGAATAGAAGTAACTAGAATGGAGCTAAGGAAAAGGAGACTGGTACAAGGGGGCAACTCCCTGTTGCCCCCTTGTGTTCTGTTTAAGTTTCTTTTTGAAATCTAAAAAAAAACTTAAACAGAAGTCCACAAAGGGCAGAATATTGAGAGATCCACAAAAAAACTATGTTGCATGATAAATTGATCAACAGAAGCTTTCAAACCTAAATGTTAAATGCTATATATGTATTTTTTTAACTGCACCATGTATAGTTGGAGAAGATTTGTATGTTATTAATGGTTGTGCATTTTCTGTTGTTTTTTCCTCAGTTTTATGCAGCCTTACAACCTTACAGAAGTCCCCATCTTGGTCAAAGCTCTATTGAGCTCTATAAGGAGGCATATGGATCTATCTCTTATCCAAACAAGGAGTGGTGAGTGATGAATCACTTTTCTTTGATCAGTAATATTCATAAATATTGTGATTTTTTAAATATCTATACTTTGGCTGTAATGTCACAGAATGCAGGCAAAACCAGTTATTGTTATGTTTGATATGGATGCAATATGAAGTACATATACTGTGTTGTATTCCAGGCATGAGTGCTTTTGGGACAGGAGGGTTATGCCATTATCCAGCTACATTGGATTGGTGGAATCCTTCTCCAGTTATCAGGCTCTTCTGAGGGATGACCCACAGAGGGCTAACAGGCTCTCCCAGGATATATGTGATAGGTGATGTTAAATTTTAACATTTTAAACCACATCTATCTTTATGCTTTTCTCCAGAGTTAATGCTCCAGTAGAATTTAAAAACTAAATATTAACGAACAGTTTACTTGTTATTTATAGAAGGGTCAACTTGAGAAAATGTTTAGTCGGCTACTGTGTATTATTTGATCCCCACATGTAGAAATTCAAGAGAATTATATTTAGATATGTATATAGGCTGCACATGACTTATCATGCCTCCTTTAAAAAGTCTGGATGACAACTGTCCCCTCATTCAGAATCATAAGGCCTTTGTCTCGTCTCCTTTCTTCTTTCCTCCAGGCTGATGTCTGTAATGAAAGTGACCTCAGCAGAGACAGAAGTGACGGTGGCTGTCAAGTATTTCTACCTTCTAGCCTCCAAACCTCAAGAAACCTGACTTTTGATGACTCTGAACTTTTTAAAATACCGTAAAAAAGGTCACATCAATTTTTACATCTCAATTATTCTCGGTGAAAAGAAAGAATCTCAACATTATATTCTAAGATTTTTTGGACATTTTGGGAAATTTTAATACTGAATTTTTGGCTCAAATTAACATATATTGGGGAATGTTTGATTACTTTAATTAACATGGGAAACCCATTGATATATTTGAGTCATTGTTATGAGCCTAATCTTTTTAGTGTCCCACGTTGCCACTAGAGGGCAACATTTGATCAAATGTCCCATTGATCATCTGTGCATTGTCCATTTTCACTATATTGTTGTTCTCTACTTTAAGGAAGACTGAAAGAATTGTAAAACTGGATCAAATATCATGTTTATGTGACACTCTGAGAGGTTCTGTTGTATTCTCTGAGTATAACATGTTATTATTCTAATCTGTCTCTCACAATTTTCATACTTTTTCAAATATAACCACAATCCCAATAGCTTATCAGAGTAACTGCACAAACACTCTTAGAAAAAAACCCTGAAACTATAACTAAAGCTAATAGCTAATGAAAATCATGTCCCTAATAAGACATATAAAGGGCATTACTGTGTACTTGGGTAAGAATATGTGAAGTAAATTAATATTACTATAGAATTTAGTTGAACACATTTAAACATTAGTAAACTAATACTTTGCTGTAGCACCTTTTAATTGAAATAATTCAGTGTTTCCTAGCTTGGGAGCTATTTTACAACTATAATTTTCAAGATTTTTTTAAATAAAAAAACAACAACAATAAAACTAATCTTTATCTGAAGATCTTGGGTCAAAACTATATATATTTTTTTTGTTTGTTTCCATCATTTCACCCACCTTGAAAAAAAAGCTAACCCCAGATCATTCCAACCACATTAAAAACTGCATTACATCAACTATATAACAATGAAACCGACTGTAAAACCTGCATCTTATTTTCTCTTTCCAGTAATTATTCCTTATGCATAACTTAAATAACAAGACAGAAAAGGGCATGTAGCCTCTGCTTTCTGGTGTTTTACAGGATGGCATCTATGTGAACAGAAGCTAGGTGATGGTAACATACTGGCTAAAGTTATTCATCTCATGATAAAAAGAGTAATGCATTTTTTCCACAGGGATATTTAGACTTCAGTGGAAGACAGCATCCTCATATTCATCAGTGCTGCAGTTTGCTACATGTATTTTGTTCACAAGAGAAACTTTTCTCTACTTTTCCAGTTGATCTGATGACTTTAATCATTAAAAGTATGAACAGACATGTGCAAGCCCCTCATTACAAGGATTCACTGGACTCCTTCAAACACCAGAAAAACTATGGAAAGGTGTGTTGAAATGGTCCATTTAACAAAGAAATTACTGTTTGGCAACAAGTTTTTTTTTTTTTTCCAAGAATAGCATTGCTTGAAGGGTGCCATGCTATTTTAAACTTTGATATTCCTAATTTAAAAACATACAAAGAAAATATTCCCTCTCTCCTGCCTTTCATTGCACCTACATTCATTGTATTGTCACAGATGTACCTGACTTGAAAATATGTTAAATATAGAAGAAGAAATCTGCGATATGTTTTTTAGGTATAAGTAGGCATTGCAGGTGATAAGCTGGTGTAGAGGTACAGTAGTAGATCTAAGTGTTATCAGCTTAAGAGTTATTAATGCATTCAGCTACTATGCTTTGAGATCACATAAGGCATAAAAACAAGCTTTGCTATCTATTGTGATTATTCTATTTGTTTGGTTAATGTTTTTTTTGTTTTGTTTGTTTAGATTAAGATTTTTGTAACATTTGTTTTCATTGTGATATTTTAATCTTGTAAATAGAGAAAGAAAATGCAACATTAGCCTAAAGAATTAGCCTTAAAATATTGGCAGCGTTTTTCTGGGGATCGGTTTGACTGATATCACAATAATCAATCTTTGCCTCTGAGAGTTTTTATGTCAATCTCATGATATGCAAATATGTGCTTCCTACTTAGGTCAGATGCGACTGGTTAGTAGATTATCTTTGCGCATGCTATCAAGTTTACACATGTTTTATACAAATAAGAGAACTCATGGATAAGAGTCTTATGATTATGCAAGGGTAATACTAGTAGCTCTGTTAGAAACTTATTTTAAAGAAAAAAACAGCAAAAATGAATTCCTTAGTCAGAAGTACTGTTGCACCAATACCGATTCCAGTATCGGGCAATGAACTATTGTTACCAATCAACTATTGTTACCCATTCCAGGTAGGCAATAACAAAGTTCTACTGGATTCACTTTGTATTAGTCTTTTTCCTGCTTCACAAAGGTAGGCAGCAGCTTTACAAAGCCATGATGGGAATTACTTTACATCCAAGTAGTATGCAGTTCTTCATATATACACACACCATTTTCAAACAGTTGGTATCAGTATTGGCCAATACTGCACAGCCAGGTATCGGATATCAGTATCGGGCCAAACAATGGCATTGGCGCAACACTATTCAGAGGTGCTTTATATTGTGAAAAACAAAAGTAACATTATGCACCAGCTTAATTGTAGGCACCAACTAGGAAAGCAACCCAGCCTATCTTCTATAAAAGAAAAACAGAGAAAACTGTGAACATGGAATAATAATTGCAATAAAAATAACTCTAATATTGGAAAATAATGCAAAACAATGTATGTCAGTATATTTACTATTTCCTAGTAGGGTTAATCCACAAACTGGAAAATACAAAAAATTCTCTTCTGTGTGTCGGTGTCAGTGTTGAGCCATTCAGGTCACTATCAAACATCAAGCTTTTATCTGCAAGATTACAGTTCAGATCAATAGCTGTCCATCCCTTGAGATTGGATCTGCTGACAAAACATGATGCATGACAGGCTTCTGATGGTTTATTTTTATTGATTTGTTTTTTGAAATATGTCCTTCCACAAAATAATAACCTGTCACTGGAGTACTTCAACACGTCTCGGGGGTCTTTTGGTGTTTATGGACTGCCGGTCACAGAAGAAGGTTTGAAGTTACGCATTATGACAAAGGAAGTGTTTTATCATTTATAAAGGCAATGCTGAAGGAGTTGAAAACAAAACAAATCTATGTAGGAATATTGGAAATGTAAATTCGGTTTGAATAACAAATAAGAGCTTGTCCTCATTTGTATTTTACACAAGACTTTTTCAGCCATATTCAAATGAGTATGGGACACCACAGCGATGTAAAGCATCTGATGTTGTTTTAGGCTAAAACAGACATTGCATGATTTTTTTGGTTGTCAGAAATTGCTTTACTTGATTTATACCAGGCTCAGTTTCTCAACGTGTTGCTATAAAACAGCAGGATGAGTTTGACAGACTTAAAACTAAACAAGTTAATGTCTCAAAAAGTGAGGCAGTCTCTTATGACTGCTCTAAAGATGTTCATTCCCATTAGTGCAACATTTTATTGCACTACTCAGAGCTAAAGCTTCCATTTCCTTTTTTTTTACTTGAGTAATATTTGATATTCCAAGCATTTTGTGGAGACAGTAACTGTGTAGCAGATGTCAAGCCTAAGACAGAGGATTGGTATAACTCTGACTAATGCATAGTCATGCACTTGCAGACATGTTTTCTCTTTAAACTAAGCAGACACTTGGCTCTTATTTGAATCACTTGGTCCAGCAAGGAGAGCAGAACCTCAGGTGCAACACTTTGCTGCTATATGATTAAGACTGAAGCCGCTGGGCTTCTGTCACTGCAGTCACAGTCTGATCTGAACTGACACAGAAGTGGCTTACTGTATAAAAAAACTACCACCAATAAGACTTTAACAGGGAAAACAACACTATGTAAATTGGTAAATGACTACAGCATTAAAATTGAGTGAATATATAACTTATTTGAGCAAAAGTTCTGCATGGAAATGTGCATGGCCATAAATTAACAATAGAGGTGTTAAATAATACAAACGGAAAAACTTGGTTGGTTACTAGATTGAAGTTTTTTCCTGCAGATTTGGACAAATCTACCTTGACATTGTTTGCACAGATGCCTGGGAGCCTTAATCAAACATTTAACTAACACAAAGTTTAGAAAATGTATTTTCTATTGACATTCTGTGCAAACCATTTATTATTTAGAAGGACAGTCTGTTCCTAGGGTAAGTTAAAAGCAACATGTAAAGCGTGACTAAGTCCCCAAAAGAAAAGTGATTCAGAATAGACCTTTGTGGTTTTAAGAGCCAACACAACTAATATGCCCCTATGCAAATCATTAATTTGTATTGGGGTTCTAGAATAGCCTAGCTCTAAATATGCAAAATGCACTTATGACAAGAACTAGTGAATTTATTTACACTTCCCTGTCTGCTCTATACTCTCATTATTCCAACAGTTTATCAGCTGCTGTTCCAGAGAAAACAAACTAGTCTGGACTTGTTTGATGAAAATTTCAAGGACTCTTATATCTCTCAAATAAGACCCCTTGGGTATTTGAAACACAATGTTGTTTTCATTGCTCAGAGTATAAGCCTCTTTATAAGAATCAACCTGCACTGAAGAGAACTATGAGAGAATGCAGTGAAATCCTGTACATACACTTGATGTTTTAGCCACATAAAACTTTTTTCTAACATTTTGTTCCAATTTGCCATTGCAGTAATGGGGAAGTAACCCCATTACCACAATATGGTTTGAGACACTCACATGGCTTTTTCAATAAGATGCTCCAGCAAAGGCTTGCTGCGCTGCTGGTTGTGTGGAGGTTTTTAGACGACCCAAATGCAGAGACGGAAGCTGAGGTGGTCTCTTACAGATTTACTGTTGATCCAAAGGGAAAAAGACAAAAAAAATCAAAAAAGCAAATACATAAAACCAAAAAAACCAAGAGACATCAGGGAAAACAAACATAAGGATCAAAGAAACGACAAGGAACCAGCAAAGAGTAAACGAAGGGGAGAAGTATAATTAGAAGACTGAACAAAGACTGGGCTAATCAGCAGACGAGGAGCAGGTGTGGATAGAGGCATCTAGAAGGGAGCTAGGGGAAGGAGACTGACACAAGGGGGCAACAGAGGGTAAACAGGAAATACATATGAACTCAAATACAACCAAAAACAACTAGAATGAGAGAAAAATGGATATGAAACCAATTAAACTCAAAAATAAAACTTAAACAGAACCAAAACCATGACACAGGCAGAGACAAGAAAATGCAAAGCCTGAATTTTGCCCCCTTCCCTGGGTCAGCAGCGGCTTCATAATTTTAATAAACAGTACCATGACTCTTACCTGAGGAACAAGCTGTAGGTACAGCTTACCTTTGTGAACTCACGCCCACAGACAGCCTACCTGTAAGCTGTTAGTGCACTGTTAGCTCTAATAAACTTAGCAGTTTCTGTCAGTGATCTGCTGTGCGTCTTTGCTAGATAAATTTTTTTAGTTGGGATCAGTTCAATTGTCATTGTTAAAAAGGCTCCATTGTTTCTAATTTAAGACTGACGTCACCATCAGGCTCGTCCACCACTGCTCCTGCAGGTTCTGGGCCGAAGGTGAATAAAAAGATCCTGCTGTAGAACCTCAACTTCTAAAGAAAGGTCTTGACAATTACGTCTTTCGGTCAAATTTAATCATGTCACACAAACATATAGATACGACCAACTGTGACTGAAGCAGGATATGGAAACCTAAAATTGTTGCATAATCATTACATTAAAAAGTGACAATATCACTATTTGTAAATTTGAAAAATGTCAATGTTACTTGTGACGCATGCATCAATTTCATAATCTTTTCTTTTTACCTAATAAATAACTTAAAATATTTATTCAAATTATAAGAATCGTTAAAAACATCCATGAACCATCATGGATTTGTGTTATCTCTCACTTTTTAAATCGGAAACATTCTTGTTACCCAAAAATCACTCATAATAATTTAAATTTGTAAATTTATCTGCTGCCCCACTTTTATTTTTTCTAACAGAGAATGCCAAAGATGTTTTTAAAAAATGTCCACTTTTAAGGATAAATTTAACAAATATTATATTCAAAGATCATGACTTTAGTTCATATATGTTAATTTATAACAATACTGTCAGCTGCCCTGGCTGTGTACGTTTTTTCTTTGTTGTTGGTTTTTTTTTGGAGGTAGAAAGAGGAAGCAGGATGTAGGATGCCTATTAATAGTTTCTTTAGCACAGGGATCTCCTAATGTTCAAGTTTGTCTCCAAGTAGCTATACGATTTCCTGCAATCGATTTCCTGCAATCTTTTGCATTGCAATTTGTACAGTCCAGGTACAGTCCACCTCGCCCAAGTCAGAATCAGCTTACATTCCAGGCTTCGGTTATTGGTGCACTTTCCTTCAGCACATAGATCATACGAATTACATTAAAAGCTTCCATTTTTGTAAATAATTTTAAACTAAACTGAAACATGCAGATGAGAATCAAGCAAAAATACCCTGCTTCAAATCAAAACATTCAACTCTCAAACACAGAAGGAGACATGGAAGAAACTGGATCATTACAGCGAAGACATGGGGAGACAATGGACACTGGCTGTGTTGCTGAAGGATCTGACAAAGGAATGACTGAAACGAGAAGTATTTTACCTAGAGCGGTGATTAGG